ATTAGGTTGTAATCCCAAAAGTATTCACTGAAGTGAACTTTGGCAAATGGATGTGGGTCACTTCCCATTATTTGGCGGTTTGAAATATGTATTCCATATCATAGACACGTTCTCAGGCTTTTAATGGGCTACTGCCCTCAGCTCTACAAAAGCTGATTCTGTTATTACACAGCTCTTAGAGGTGATGGCTGTTATGGGTATACCTGAAAAAATAAAAACTGACAATGCTCTAGCATATGTCTCCATAAAATTGGAACAGTTTTTCAAATATTATGATATAAAACATGTAACTTGAATACCTTAAAATCCTACAGGACAAGCAGTAGTTGAAAGATAACTGAACCTTGAAAGAAATGCTTCATAAACAGCCAGGGGGAAAAAGACCACCAAACACAGGTTACATAAGCTTTACTAATGATGAATTTTCTTAATGCCAATGAGAAAGAACAAATTTCAGTAGAAAGACGCTGGACTACAGAGAAGACTTCTGAGCTGAAACAACCACTGTAATTTAAAGATGTTATCACGTCAGTCTGGAAGCGAGGATATATGTTACGCTGGGGAAGAGGAGAAGAAAAACTTTGGATTCCATAAAAATTAATCAAGATTTGATCTGAACAAAAGAAACCTCAGGAGGAAGAAAGGTGACAGCTCATCTACAAGGTCATATTCTACTATGTGTAAGGAGACCTCATAAAAGGAAAGAGAAGTGTTCTATTTTTGTCTTTACAGGAAAACTCATCTCTAAACAGTGAAAAAATACTGGATGTATGGAAACCTGAAGAAGAAAGGATAGCTACCCAGAGGACCATCAAACATGCAATAATACAACGCGTGGTATCAATGTCTGAATCTCCCTATTTTGTTATTATAATTTCCATTTCTCTTTGCTTCTTAATATGCCTTAGTCCCAATTCATCTAATTAATGCTGGCTTTAGAGTTGGATTGGCTCTCCTGCTTTAAAGCCAAGCATATTGTTAAAACACAATTCAGAATTTCTGTATTATATCAAAGAGCGATTTATATAAGATAGAAGAAAACAAAATTAGGGACTATCATCTGGTATACTTGGTTCTTTTTCTAAAATTCTAATCTCCTTGATGCTTATTATCTTCCTTAGGGTTGCCTTTCCCGGTATGCATACATATAAAAGTAAAAAAAATTCTGTGCTAACATTAATGTTTGAGTTTTCCAGAGAACAAGGGATTTCCTGACAGCAATCTTCAACTGCTTCATAAAGATAATTGGGATCCACTTCCTCGACTCCACCTGCTTCAACTGGATACATCTGAACTGCCCCACGTCATAGACCCGACCTGACAAGCACCGTCCTGAAACCGGTTTAGGACTACATCACTTGACACAACTCTAGAATAAGGAACTGATACAGTGCATCTTCTACAATCTGACCAGAGCTTCAGATAAGAGATTCAATCAAAATTAAAACTCCAATAAAGAACTTTAATCAAGGATCTCCTGCCAAACAGAGACTAATTAACCTACTTAAGTCTCTTGTTACACTAACAATTTCTTCCCACAGGTACCCATGATTGTCATCGTCCCACTTCAGCAGGAAGTAATTTGAGAATTCCACGTCCCCTCTCCCTACTATTGATATTAGAGGATAGTTTACACCTATTGGTATTATTTTTCAATTATTTTAAGGTTGGGATTGGAAGAAGGTGTTCAGACTTGGGCATCCCTTTCAGATAAGTTTAGAATTTAGGTGGAATGGATATTTTTAGCTTAGGATATAAGTAGATTATAACTTACTTATCACCCTCTATGTATATATGTTGTATATGTTTGAGTTTGTATCAAATTTAAATCTTCTATTTAGACTAAAAGGGGAATTGTAGGAGTGAACCCCACAAAGCTATCAGCCCATGAAGGCAGGGACAAATAAATTAGCACAGGTAGAGATAAATTGAAGCGAAATGAAAAGGGACCTCCTCTTTTGGAAGCCAGCCACGCTTCTGATTCCCTACTTGTGTGATATTCTCTCTCAGGAAAATAAATACATTGTATTCCCTATTGCATTGACTATCATCATTAATTGTCTGACTCAAAAAACTGGCTCAAATTATGCTCTATTCATAATAGGCAAAATTAATCAAGACGTTTTTAAAGAAATCTTTGGAAAATAAAATTTGTACATTTACACAAGATACTACTAATCAGCCATTAAAATATAAACAATAAATGAGGAAATCCACAGGTAAATGGAGTAAACAAAAATATCCTATACATTAGCATACATGTAGTTATTAGTTTTGAGTCAATGATAGGCATGTTACAATCCATAGACTTAGATAGGCTGTGTATGGTATCAATGACTAGGGAGCACAGGTACATTTTCATATCAAAGGTAACTAGAATAGATAGCTAGAGATGAATGTGGATGGGGCTGAAATCTGTAGAGCAAATTGTGAGAGGAAGCGGAGAATGGGATTATATAGAGAGATTACGCTAAACATAGAGACATCTAAACTTGAAGCCATTTGAGAGATGTCAATAAAATCTAATAAAATCAGAGCTCCCTCAATTATATATGCATGAAGGTGATCTAAATGAAATCACCCAATAATGGGGTAGACAGATCCCCAACTGTACATCACTTGTTCACAAATTAAACCTTCCTGTCCCAAGATTAGGTTTCATCAAATTGAAGAGTTGATCAATGATATGCCAAAGCAACCAGGCTGCCATCAGGAGTGTAGGTTGTTTACACAGACTGATAGCAAGGCCCCATTGCTGAAGTCAACAAGTAGGCAACTCAAACCTATATGCTAGAATCTTTAGTACTGTAATGTATTCCACACACCATCAAGGCAGTAATGTAAATACCAACACAGCCCAAAACCCTTAGAGCTACACTGTTATCCTTCCTGTAATATATGATAGTTCAATTGTGTAACAAATCTTGTGAGAAAACTCACAAATGTCCTGACTGAAAGCATGCTTCCCCCATTGGAACCCATGCAAAATACTGCTGGGTGACAAGATAACCTGAGGCTCAATAAACTAGGTACCATGATAAAACCAAATACAACTGTTGAAAAACTATAGAAATAAAATGATTCCAAATGATAATATACTTTGTAAGAAATTGATACTATGATCTGCAATCATCAGCAAAACCTCCTCCTGTAGCAGATTGGAGCACATACAGAGTCTCACAGCAAGACATTATTCAGAAATGAAGAAAGCTTGGAACACGTTGTCATGAATTAGTTTTCTCTGTCAAATTTCTCCCTCCCAAGCTTAGTTAACTCTATACAAGTGGAGAACAAAAAAAGTAAAAAGCTATAGGGGATGGAGGACACTAAGAAAACAAAACCCTCCAATTCAACAGGGTTCATTCACATATGCATGATCTGATACTGAGGAAGTGTGCACTGATTTTTCAAACTGTAACAGATGCAGCTCTAGAGCTGAAAGGACATAGGAAGATGCTCACATCCCTAAGACAGAAGCAAGCTCAAATTGTTAATCAATTTAAAAGTAGTCTCACTGGCAAGGAATGTACTCTTAGCATTGCACTAATTGCTCAGTAGTAGATGGCCAACAGACAATAAACAACAAATCATCCTTGGTAGTTCCTTCTCACAGTGTCCTGTCAGGACTTTATCTTTTTTTGTGAAATTTCAAATTTTTCATTTTTTATGTCTTTTATTTTAATTATGTACTTGTTTTTCTCTGTGTTTGTCTTTTTATAAATGTTATAGATGCAATTTTAGTAGTTTTTGATGAATATGAGTGTTTGAACAAATGGATCTCTAAATCATATGCCTTTCATTGATCTCTTTTCCTTCTGTGTGTACCTTTTATCTAATTCCTATGGTCTAGCTTTATTTTAATCTAATTAATTTATATTTTATTATATTGTCACCATCAAAGCTTATTTGTTTCCTAATGAAAAACATAAACAGAACATATCAGGAGCAAGAGTAGATAGGTAGGAAATTTGAATAGTTTATGGTAGAGAACCATAATCAAGGTACATTTTGTGAGAAAGGAAGTTATATTCAATAAGAAAAAATAAATCCATCCATCAGGAGAAGAAATGAAACACAGGACTACACTATTTTAGTCAGATAGAAATTACTCAAAAATTATGGAGTCAATTATAGCACACTATTAAAACAAATAATAAATAAGATCACAACCAGTTTTGCTGACATAGAAGTGTCCAATCAGTAGTTGTCAATCAATCTGAACTGTTATAAAGATTGTGAATAGAAATTTAAAATATAGCTTAGAATCTGCTCTGCTTTTGATGTATTAATGAACATTTTTATCACAGGATGATGACTGGTTCTCTATTTAAGCAATGCAACAATGGGAGATTTTATGCTGGATGTGGCCACTCAGTGGTGGCAGTTGTCATGGTGGGGCTAGTGGTGTGTGTGTGTGTGTGTGTGTGTGTGTGTATGTATGAAAGTACACGCTGTGTGAATATCTCTAAACCAAATATGTAATGATGCATCCCAAATCATAACCATGTACATGTACAGACACAATATCTGTATGACTGTAATAAGTTCTACCTAGAATGGGTTGTGTCTAATGATTCCATATGAAACTTGGTTTGCATGGGCTGCAAATATTTCACATGTTGATCAGAAAAGCAGTGTTGTGAATTAGGTTTATTACTTAATTTCCTCAGGAATAATTTACCCTGGGGCCTTCATATACACTAGTGTGAATTTGAACCACAGGTATGTGGAAGGGAAGATGATCTTTAATCATAATTACTGTAATTTTCTTGCACCTGGTCATAAAATTCAGATGCAAAACCAAAGGACTGAAAATGCTTAGGATTTCTCCAGAGAGCAAAAAACTAAGAAGAAAAGTACTGGGAAACCTAAGTGTACTCATACATGTCTACAACCATAAAAAGAGACACACATGTATGTACAGACACATTTGAAAAGTGGTTTTGTATTTACCTTTGCTTGATACACCTTTACCAGTGTTCCCCTTTGGGTAAATTACAAAAATGTTAAATTTGACACTTTTCTTCTTGATCCTGGGACTTTCCTTCATCTTCTGCAGTTTGACTGATCCTAGGTGCTTTGTGAGAAAAAAAGACACGGAAACGTGGATTGGAGATAAAGATATTGATTGCTTTTTTTATATTTATGCAAAGCATGGTCACATGAAGAATGAAGATTTCAATAGGAATCTAGATAAGAAGTAAGTGCATTTCATTTATTTGTTTTTGACTCATTATCAATGTAAAAACTATATAGAAGTTCTATATATGTTCATGTTTTCTATCTGTTTTTCCATACTTTAATATCTAGAAAGTAACAATTTTTAGTTTTATGCTGATTATTTCTCTATTATGAGTTATTCCAATCATCATTCTGAATTCATAGTTTTCTACTTTTCTTCTAGAAGAATTTACTTAATAATGGAAATTCCCACTCCATATTGTCAAGTTCCTAAGAAATATAATACAAAAGCACTGCCATGAGTTCATTTCCTTGATGTTGAGTCAAGTTTTCTTTCTATCTGTGGTCTGCCAGTGTTTCTTCTATCATGATAAAATGTGCTAGCCCTATGAAGAGAGGTTTTTGGTATTTCTGCCGAAGTTCATAGGCACATTTCTTAATAGAATAATTAATTTTATTCAAATGTTTTTTGAGACACCATTTCATAACTGTAGTGCTGTATGACTCCTGCAGTTGAAATCAAGTATAGAACATTAAAGGCATTCACTATGGTAACTTTTCCTTTACATTAAATGTTGTTTCACTTGATCAGATGTACAAACACATTCCTTTTTATTAACAATGCAATTAGTTGTTTTATAAGCTATAAATTACTCATGTATATCAGTCATCTATATAATTACAACACACAATTTGTGTACCTGTATAAAGAGGGTATGTTATCTCAAGCAGTAACTTAATGTATTTCCCTTCCAAAGTGCTAGAACTAAAGTTGCTACATGTAGCACCTGCCACCATTTGAAAGAATGTTATTAAACTCACAAATTTGGTCACTTTTTCACCATTTATTTCATATTTTGCTTTCATGGTTCTTCACTCCAGAACTTTATACGCTGGCAATTATTTCACATTTTCTTGTCACTTCCTTTCCCTCTATTATTGAGCATATGTTTATATATTGTGCAAATATGTCCACCCCATACATGTGCTGAAATTGATCATTGGTTTGGGGAATTGTGGCAATGTCTTCTCTTTGATGCTAAGCAAATTGTCATAAATAACACTGTAATATATGGTCATAAATTCTTTGCAAAATGGGCATTTCACTACCTGTAATTAATGTTTTATCATTAGAGACTAGAGTTATATTCATTTATTAATAACATAGATTAATTCAAATCCAAAGCAGAGGATGAAGTCTTGGAACATGGAGTATATGAGAGACTTTTTCAAAAAGTTTAAGTAAATTTTTAAAACTTACAGTGAAACTGGTTTAGGTGTAGATCAGGTATAAATGACAAAGAGGAATGAAACTAGATGTTATCACATATTTGTTACACAGACAAAGCTATTTTCACAGTGAAATGAAACATGAAAGAGAAGATCCAGGGATTCAAATTATCAAAACTTAGTGTAGGTTAAATGAGAAATTTTTATCGAATCAAACAGTGATTTTTTATATACATAATTCAAAGTACTAGTGTTTTGTAAATTGGATAGAAACTTCTTAGGTTTACATGTAAAAGCATTGGCAATTCCATTTTTTGTTGGTACTTAAATATCACCAGGTTATGAGTACAGTCATTGTAGATGTGATCTCACTAAGCAATATTAGTAGAATACTTCTAAAGGTAAGAAACAGATTATGTAGTCATAAAGGCAACACAGGTAAATGGTATCAATCATTTCCTTGAGTTTTTTCCCATATGTCATTGCACATTTATTCAAAAATGGAATTTAGTATCTAATACTCTTCTAAGAATGTTTATTTTATTAAAAAATGTTTTATTCCTCACACACTTTTAATGGGAGACTTCACCAACCCACTCTCACCACTACATAGGACTACAAGACAGAAATTTAACAAAGAAGCAAAGGAACTAATGGAAGTTATGACCCAATTGGGATTAACAGACATCTATATATCATTCCATCCAAATAAAAATATGCTTTATCATAGAAGCATGCTGTAAAGCCTATTTGTTTTCTGTATATATGTTGTGCCATCACAACAAATAGTCTGATTGGAAATTTTCTTACTAACACTGATATGCTTCTGTCATTATTAACAGCATAATAGTTGACAAAAATGAAGTTGTAGAAAGCATTATTGCAAAAATGGCTACAAGAAGTTGTTTGAAGTAGAATTGAAATCTAATTTTATAGTGAATGGGATAAAATGTTCAATCCTAAAACACAGCTATTATGTATATATCTTATGGGAAATACATTGGTATTATGCCTAAATACTTTAATAATATTTAAAATTTTGGCTAGAGAACCCTATATCATACAAACTTTTATTAAAACATTTTCACCCTTCTAACTTCTAGGGCAAATAATTACCTGTTTCATGTTTTGAATGATTATGTTTATCCACAAAAAGTAATTGACTCTTGTTTTCAATAATTTGTTAATGTATAATACTGGAACATTTTAACAATGTTTTCTATGGAGAGGTAGATTTGAGTCTCATTTATATGTTTCATATATAGATAGAGGGTTTACACAGTACAGCAAATGCATGACTTTGAATAAAGTATGAGAAACCTGCAAAAATGCTGATGAGTAGAACCAAATTAAATGAAGATTATAAAATTATTAATGAGGACCAATAGAAATCCTGGAATTAATGCATTTTTCTTTGTTTTAATGAATTGCTAGAAACAAATTTTGGCCTTGAAAAAAACCAGAACCTTGAAATTTGATAATACCACATCTGCTTTGAAGCAGAAGACAATACAGTATGTTGACGAGGAAACAATCTCCAGTAAAGTCCCACTTTTCTGCATATTAAAATGAAAAGCCAGATCTCATGAGTACAGGGCCAGCAATCAGATTAGGAAATGTGAAAATATTAATGATGTTACATGAATACCACTAAATAATCAGAAATATGCTATTGATACCTTTAAATATGAAGTGAGTGAACAATAAGAGTTCAAGGAAATTGAACATTTAATTCATAAGAAGAAATATAAATTTATAAAAATTTATTTGGAAAACTAAAATGTCTGTAATTTAAGACATTAATTTTCTAGCATAGTAATACCAGTGCTTTAACAGGAAAATTAAACTTAACCTGGAGACATCATCATCATATATTAATAAAATCAATTACAGAATGGAGGGCACTCAAAAACAATGCAGGTTTCTTTAATCTGAAATCTAGGGTCAATAATAGGATGTTCAGATGAATGAACAAAAATAAATCAGATCATCAAATGATCAAAGTGACCATGTGACAAGAATAAGGCTCAGTTCTCCTAATAAATCATCACTGCTATAATGAATAGTATATCACCAAAGATTATACCTCATCAGAATGAATGGATGTAGAAAAGGGTGCATAAAGTAGAGATAAAAAGTAAGAAAAATTATGTTATCTGCATTGCTTATGAATTTAAAGGGTTCTCAGAGCTGTGGATACAGACAAATATATTTGGCTCCCCATTTCCTGTATTCATAACTGAGTCATGGAGTTGCCTATTGCTGCTTCTGTGTAAAACTGTATCACTATACAAGTAGCAGATAATATCTTCCTATTTTCAATATGTACTATATATTAGAATTCTAAAATTAAAAATGAGCAGATTCAATATCTTTTAGGACCTACTTCTCACCATTTTCTTAAAGGAATAAACTGTATGAAAAACGGAGGGAGAGGGAGCTGGAATTGACATATGAAGCAGGCTTATTTCTAATTTAAATAAAAAAAACGGTATGAAAATTCAAAATCAAAGTATCCCACATGAGTGAGCTCCACCTCAAAATACTTTAAAATACCATTACTAAATTACATCTATCTCACATTCTCAGACATCACAGTAACAGAACCTGTCTACCTTTAACAATGGGAAAAACGAACATTTCATAAAGGAATACTGTTATGATTTAATGTTATTATATTTTGAGCACCATCTCTAATGGTCTCTTTGCTCTCTTTTCAGATTGACAACCAAGAATATTCATTTGATTTTCTGTCTTTATTTTGCTCTTGAAGATATCAATAAGGATCCATATATTCTGCCCAATATTTCTCTACTAGTTAAAATCGAATGCAACCTAATGGATGATTGGAGGAATTATAGTCTATTCAAAAAAATAGGGGAATTTCTTCCTAACTACTACTGTATTAATCAGAGAAGATATTTAATTGTACTTACAGGACCAATATGGCTAGCATCTGTTATGCTTGGACCACTTCTGTACATGACCAACAGACCGGAGGTAAGATAGGGGAGATTGGTGTTTTTTTATGAAAAATATGGTTCCTTTCATTCTGATTTTTATATCAATGCAGACTTAAACAAAAAGTGGTTTAGGTTTAATGTGATACATATATTTCAAAGCATAGTCAATTTAGAGGAACACACCACGAGTTTACCACAAATAAATTTGAAGAATTGCAGAAATTTGAAGTGTTTTACTTACAGTCTTAGTTCATCTGTACCTTAATACATATTCACAATAAACTACATATGGCTTAATAATGAGATGAAAATCCACATGCCCTGACACACTTAGCTTCCAATGAGCACATTGTTTTAGATTGATCATTATGAAATATACCCTGTTCAATGTATTGATTATATTCTTTGGTATTCAGCTTTACTATGGTCCATTTCATCCTCTTCTGAGCAGTCACGAGCAGTTTCCACATCTATACCAGATGACTTCTAAGGATACATCACTGGCTTTGGCCATGGTATCTTTGGTGATCTATTTCAGCTGGAACTGGGTGGGAGTGATCATTTCAGATGATGATCTAGGACTTGAATTTCTCCTGGAATTGAGAAAAGAGATGCAAAGAATCAGTGCATGCTTAGCTTTTGTGCACATTATTGTGGATGACAAAATATTATTCCAGAAAAGTGCAAACATCTATTATAATGAGATCGCAATGTCATCAGCAAAGGTTGTTATCATTTATGGAGATAAAGATTCTCATCTTCAACTCAACCTTAGGCTTTACAGATTAGTAGGCCTTCGGAGAATCTGGGTTACTACCTCACAGTGGGATATGGTTACACATAATAAGAGATTCCTTCTTGATTCCTTTTATGGGACTTTCACATTTTTAAATCACCATTCTGAATTATCAGGTTTTAAAACATTTATCAGGACAGCAAACCCTTCCAAGTACACAAATTTCATTTCCCTTTCTACATTATCTTGGATACATTTAAATTGCTCATTGTCATCATTGAGTTGTGAGAATATGAAGAATTGTTCAATGGAAACTCGATTTCATTGGTTATTCAAACACCATTATGACTTGTCTGTGGGTGGCACAGGTTATGTCCTTTACAATACTGTGCATGCTGTGGCACATGCACTCCACGAGGTGTTGTTGCAAGAAGTAAATACATGGCCAAAGAATTCTGGGAAAAGCCTGGAATATGACTCTTGGAAGGTAATATATATTCTAGTGAAGGCAATTTATTATCATAGATATAATTTTCTTAATGGATAACATATGTATATTCTAAATAATCCACGATCATTTCTATCAAACACATCAAGTTTTGTACCCTCTTGCTGAATATCATGTGACTCCTTTTATTGATATAGACTATCTTACAGGAAATTTTAGCACATGGACATATTTTCATGATCTAATGCAATAACATTTCTCATAATGTTTCTAAGACATATGTGTCTAACTTTTAAAATATCTGAAACACAAGCTTGTGATTCTCATGAATATTCAAAATCCCTGACAGTATGTTTAAGTGACTGAAACATTGGTGAACAATTAAGTGAATAGGCACTAAGTAAAAGCAAGTAATTCTTCCAATTTTTAACATATAGAGGACCTCAGTTCCTTAGCTGATTGTCTAACAATTCTATTGGAGTACAATTAATGTGGGTTCAAGTGTAACAGAATAAACCTCAGTGAGAAGCTGATATTTCTAAAACATAAAGTTGTTTCACATATGTAGATTTTTCTGTCTAATGTAGAAGTACTTGGCATTATCTCACATTTCATAATGGGTAAATAAAAATAGAGGTAATCTATTTTTCATATAGCTTCTCTAGATGCATAGGAATAATTAAAACTAAAATTATAAATGTTTCAGATACTACATTTCCTGAAGAACTTGCAATTTATAAACCCTGTTGGAGACAAAGTAAACATGAATCAGAAAGAAAGCCAGGATGTGGAATATGACATTCACTACACTATGGAGTTTTTGCAAAATCTTGGACTCAGGGTGAAAATAGGAAAGTTTTCCAAACATTTGCCACATGGCCAACAATTGTATATGTCTGAAGAGATGCTAGAGTTGAACATAAACCTCAGGCAGGTGTGTTGGAATTACTTCTTTTTTAATTATTTATTTTTAAATTAATATTTAAATTAGAAACAAGGTTGCTTCACAAGTCAGTTCCAGGTCCCTCTCCATTTCCATCCCCTCCTCCTGTGTCCCCCTCAACCCCCCCAATATCCCCTCATTTCCCCAAGGAGGGTGAGGCTCTCCATGGGGGTGTCCATAATCTGTCATTTCATCCAGGGCAGGGCCTAGAACCTCCCCCAAAAGTTCAAGGTGAGAATGTGTCTCACATTGTTGGATGGGAGTCCAAAGTCCATTTGCATATCCAGGATAAATACTGATCTACTGCCCAAGGCTCAATAGATTACCTAGGCCTCCTCACTGATACCCACATTCAGGGGGTCTTGATCAGTCCCATACTGGATTCCCAGGCATCAGCCTAGGAGTCAATAGTTAACCCTTGTCAGGTCAGCTGTTTCTGGGGATTAAACCAGCCCAGTATTAATTCCTTTGCTCATCAGTCCTCCCTCTCTGTTACTGGCTTTCTTTAGTTCAGCTCAGTACTTACTTCTAAAACTCTACATGCACCATAAGTGCACTTGAGCATCCTTGTGGGTTAGAGTATTTTCAAATATAGTCACTAACTCACATTCTATAATCATGTGAGAATATATTTTTTCAGTAGTATAAATTTTCACATATCTATATATTTATATCTCTATCTTTAGCTGTATATTATGTGTATATTACACAACAGATGTTCTGGAATATTATTTTATTTATTTATTTATTTATTCATTTATTTTGTTTTTTTGAGACAGGGTTTCTCTGTATTGTTTGGAGGCTGTCCTAGAAGTTGCTCTGTAGACCAGGCTGGTCTCAAACTCACAGAGATCTGCCTGCCTCTGCCGCCTGAGTGCTGGGATTAAAGTCGTGTGCCACAATATAATAAAATATAATCACACATGAATGAATACAATGTTCTAACTATACAAATCAAAATACTTCATCAATATTTAATTAATAAATAAGTGGTACATATTTATTTGGTGTATATATCTATATAATGTTTTTCAGTAATGCAATATTGTAGGTCACAGTAACTATTCCCAAGTATGTAAGCATTTTTCTTTATAGTTCCTTTTATGCTTTTTCTCAGATTCCACCTTCAATATGCAATGTGCCTTGCAGTCCAGGATTCAGAAAATCCCCTCAGCCAGGGAAGGCAGTCTGCTGTTTTGATTGTACTCCTTGCCCAGAGAATGAAATTTCCAATATGACAGGTAAATGTATAGCATACTAAAAGAGTCATCAGATGAACGCATTTCTACAATTTTACATGAATCTCAATGATGTCTTATGCAAATTGATGAGATAAATTTCATCATGTTATTAAAAAATCGGTATTCTTCCCTGTAAATTACACAATAGGTATCCTGAAATATTATTTTATTACATTTAATTTTTGGTTTTTCGAGACAGGGTTTGTCTATATTTTTTGGAGGCTGTCCTGGAACTTGCTCTGTAGACCAGGCTGGACTCAAACTCACAGAGATCTGCCTGCCTCTGCCTCCCAAGTGCTGGGATTAAAGGCATGTGCCACCAACACCCAGCTTCTGAAATATTATTAAATATTTGAGTAGTTTCTTTTGTAAATTACTTTAGAGTGCTAAAATAACTGTAATATTATTTGGTTGGAATTAATTCCTATATAACACAGTTACATTTCATCTTGCCCAAGACTTGGGAAGTTGACATTCACAACTTCATTTACCCGCTGAGATTTTTGTTAAGTTGTAGATGCTCTTAGATGCTGCATCCTGCTTGAGAGGTATGTACTTTGCAGTATGTATTATGGTAGATAATTCTGTCAGTTTTCAGTTGTACTTTCATTTGCAGACTTGCCTACATGTGAGTTTGGAAGTCAGCATATAGAAGATGAAATCAAAATTTTAATATTAATATTGAATGAAAATATTAGTGAGAAATTTTCAGGGTGAATAGGTGGGGAAATCTTGTTAGTGACAAGGTTTCTATAGAACAATTGTTAGTGATGTTATGGGTAACATAATAGGCAACTGAAAGATGGAAGTGTATACTTTGCAAGTGGTGACACATACATAAATTAAAAATTGCTTCTTAATCTGCACAGCAGTTGTAAATTACTCCATAAAATTTTAACATAATAAATTTGGAGATTTATGAAGAGTTCAGAAACAAAAAATTCCTGTCAAATGTTAAACACATTTTTCATGTAACCAAATGAATAATGGGGAAAAGTTGCATGGAATACTTAGTAGAAAATAAATTGATGAAAATTATGCTTTAAATGTATTAAGTTTTTAGTATTTGAATACAAAAATAATACACCAATTATTTTAAATTCTTGGTAGATGTTTATGTATATTTTAAAATAATACTTTTTATAATGAATAATTATAAATTTATTAGAAATATTTTTAAAATATGAATAATTCTTCCTACCAGTTTAGATAGTACCACATATTAAAATCAGAGAGAACATAACTAACTGATAAGGAATGTACAGTCATGAATGTAAAGACTCACTATTAGAATAATATTATTACTTTCAAGTAAGATATGTTGTATCCATTCAGTTAAACACAGTTCAAGATGTGATGTTTTTAATTGCATAATTTGTAGAAAATAAACTCTTCCATCATTATTTTATGTGCCTCATCTATGTCTTTAAATGTAGAAATACATCACATTCATGCTGTTTCTCAATAAATATATATTGTATTAAGCAAATTGACAGTCCAGTGTTAGAGAAATTAGTAAAATTCATAGATACTGGTTTTTAATAATATTCATATATTGAAACCTAACAGTAATTATTATATTAATGATTATATTTTAATGTGGTAAAAGATGCTTGAAGCCTTTGCTTTTGCTGACACTATCCATGAAGGCTTCTAAGTAATATAGGAGTTTCATTGTATTTCAGTACACAAGATCTACAAAAGGACATTGGTATGTGATCCCTCTTTGTACTTCATAGAAAAAAACAAAATACAGATGTAAAACTGCTGCTTTTATGATCTTGTATTTCATAGAATACAGAAATACTAAGAATAAATATGGTTTTATAGTCACAAACACATTTTGTTATGGAAATATAAATATACTAGGAGAGGCTAATCAATTTTGGTAAGCAAATAAAGATGTTTTTAATATGCATAACAAATATAAACATTGGATTTACATAATTGTGTATAAAGTTGATACATTTTAAATTGCTATTTTTCCATTTTTTTTAAAATTAGAAACAAGATTGTTTTACATGTCAGTCCCAGTTCCCTTTCATTCCCCTGATACCCTGCTGCCCACTAAGTCCCTATCGCAGCTCCTTTAGGCTCATCAGGAAGGGTGAACCTTTCAAGGAGGATCTTCAAAATCTGTCATACCCTTGGAGGATGGCCAAGGCTGGGAGAGAATTCCCCAAAATGGGATGGGCTCCTAAAGCCCATTCATATGGTTGGGATAAATACTGATCTATTATCAGAAGCCCCATAGATTGCTGAGGTGTCTTCCCTGACACCCACATTCAATCTTATGCTGGAATTCCAAATATCAGTCTGGGGTCTATGAACTCCACTTTGTTCTGGTCAACTGTTTTTGTAAGTTTCAACATCCTGGTCCTGACTCATTGCTAATCACTCCTCCTTCTATGCAACTGGATTCCAGGAGTTCAGTTCAGTGTTTAACTGTGGGTGTCTGCTTCTACTTCATCAGCTACTGGATGAAGGCTCTAGGATGGCATATAAGGTAGTTATCAATCTCATTATCAGAGAAGGGCATTTAGGGTAGCATCTCCACTATTGCTAAGTTTGTTAGCTGGTGTCATACTTGTTGATCTCTGAACAATTCCCTAGTGACAGATTTATCTTTAAACCTCTAATGACTCCCTCTATTAGAGTATCTCTTATCTTGATCTCCTCTGTTCTTCCCTAACTCAATCTTCCTGATCTGCATGTCCTCTTCTCCCCTTCTCTTTTCCTATTCTCTTTCTCCTACCTCCTTCTACCATCCTCCCATGCTCCCAATTTGCCTAGGAGATCTTGTCCCTTTCCCCTTCATTGGGGGACCATGTAGGTCTCTCTTAGTATCCTCCTTGTTTCCTAGCTTCTCTGACAGTGTTGATTGCAGATAGGTATTCCTTTGCACTATGTCTGAAATACATATATGAGTGAGTACATACCATCTTTGTCTTTTGGGGAAGGGGTTATGTCACTCAGGATCTTTTTTTCTATGTCCAAACATTTGATGGTGATTTTCAAGATTCCATTGTTTTTGTTTTGTTTTTTTCCTTAGTAGTAATCCATTGTGTAAATGTACCACATTTACTCTATCCATTCATCAGTTGAGGGCACCTAGGTTGCTTCCAAGTTCTGGCTATTACAAATAATGCTGTTATGAATATAACTGAACAGATGTCCATGTTGTATGAATGTGAATCTTTTGGGTCTATGCCTAAAAGTGGAATAGGTGGATCTTTTAGTAGACTGATTCCCATTTTCCTGAGGAATCTCCATACAGATTTGTAAACTGGCTGTAGGAGTTGGCACTCACACCAGAAGTGGAGGAGTGTTACCCTTTCTCCACATCCTCTCCAGCATAACCTGTCATTGGTGTTCTGACAGGAGTAAGATGTTATCTCAGAGTTGTTTTGATTTGCATTTCCGTGATGGCTATGGATGCTGAGCACTTTCTCAAGTGTCTCTCAGCCATTTTATACTACTCGATTGAGAATTCTCTATTTAGTTCTGTGCCTCACTTTATAATCAGAACCTTTGGTGTTTTGGAGACTTGCTTCTTGAATTCTTTGTAAATTTTGGAGATCAGACCTCTGTAAGACTTGGGGTTAATGAATATCTTTTCCCAATCTGTGGATTGCCTTTTTGTCTTGCTGACTGTGTCCTTTGCCTTATAGAAGTTACTTACATTCAGGAGGTCCCATTTATTAATTGTCACTATCAGTGTCTGTGCTACTGGCATTATGTTCGGGAAGGTCTCCTGTACAAATTCATTCAAGGATACTTCCCGCTTTTTCTTCTAAGAGTTTCAGTGTGGCTGGATTTATGTTTAAGTGTTTCATCCACTTGAACTTAAGTATTGTGCATGGTGATAGACATTGATCTATCTGCAGTCTTCCACATGCCAGCATCCAGTTATTCCAGCACCATTAGTTGAAGATGCTTTCTATTTCCATTAGATAATTTTAGCTTCTTTGTCAAAATCAGGTGTTCGTGTGTGTGTGTGTGTGTGTGTGTGTGTGTGTGTGTGTGTGTGTGTGTTAATTTCAGGGATTTCAGCTAGATTCCATTGGTCTATCTGTCTATTTCTATGCCAAGACCAAGCTGTTTTCAGGACTGTATCTCTGTAATAGAGCTTGAAGTCAGGGTTGTAATGCCCCTGGAAGTTCCTTTATTTTACAGGGTTATTTTTACTCTCCTATGTCTTTTTTTTCCAAATAATGTTGATTATTGTTTTTCAAGGACTGTGAAGAATTCTACCAGTATTATGATGGGGACTGCATTGAATTTACTGATTGCCTTTAGCAAGATTGCCATTTTTACTATGTTGATCCTAAACATTCAAGAGCATTTGAGATCTTCCCATGTTCTGATATCTTCTTTAACTACTTCATTTAAAGATTCAAAGTTCTTGCTATACATGTCTTTTAATAGTTTGATTAGCATTACCCCAAGATATTTTATGTTTTTTGTGACTATTGTAAAGGGTGATGTTTCAGTGATTTTTCTGTCAGCTGTTTTATCATCTACTTACTATATTTTTATTTATTATTTAAATTAGAAACAAGCTTGTCAATTCCTGCTCCCTCTCTGTCCCCTCCTCCCCTGCACCCCATCAGGCTCCCTAAAACCCCCACCCAATCCCCACTCCAATCCCACTCAAGGATGAGTCCTTCCATGAAGGATCTCCAGAGTCTGCCATTACATCCAGGATTATCATATGTATACAGTAGGGCTACTGATTTTTTTGAGTTAATCTTGTATTCTGCCACTTTGCTAAAGGTATTTATCAGCTCTAGGCATTCCTGTGTAGATTTTTTGGGTCACATACAAACTATCATATCATCTGAAAATAGTGAAATTTTGACTACTTCCTTTCCAATTTTTAACCCCTTGATCTCCTTTTGTTGTCTTATTGCTCTCGCTAGAACTTCAAATACAATATTGAAGAGATATGGAGAGAGTGGATAGCCTTGTCTTGTTCCTGATCTTAGAGGAATCTCATTCAGTTTCTTTCCATTTAGTTTGATGCTGGCTATTGCTTTACTGTATATAGCTTTTATTAAATTCATGTATGTTCCTCTTCCTGTTATCCATGATCTCTCCAAGACCTTTATCATGAAGGGGTGTTGGATTTTTTCAAAGGGTTTTCAACAGCCAGTGTGCTGATCATGTGGTTTTTCTTTTGCAGTTTGTTTATATGGTTTATTACCTTGACAGATTTTTGTATGTTGAACCATCTCTGCATGCCTGGGGTAAAGCTGACTTGATCATGGGGCATGATTTTTCTGATGTGTTTATGGACTCAATATTCCAATATTTTATTGAGTATATTTGCATCAGTGTTCATGAGGGATATTTGTCTGTAGTTTTTCTTATTTGTGTCTCTGTGTGGCTTGGGTACTAAGGTAATTGTAACCTCCTAAAAATAGTTTGTCAATGAACCTTCTGCTTCTATTGTATGAAACACTTTAAAGAGTATTGGCATTAGCTCTTCCTTGAATTTCTAGTAGAATTCTAAACTGAAGCCATCTGACCCTGATCTTTTTCTTTGGGAGACATTTGATAACTGTTTCCATTTCTTTAGGAGATAGAGATCTGTTTATATTGCCTATATGTTCATGATTTAGTTTTGGTGAGTGATATCTATCCAGAAAATAGTCCATTTCTTTAAATTTTTGAATTTTGGGTAGTACAGGTTTTCAAAGTATGTCCTGACCATTATCTGCATTTTGTCAATGTCTGTTGTATGCCCCCCTTTTTATTTCTAATTTTGTGAATTTGCTTGTTCTCTCTCTGCCTTTTGGTTAGTTTGGATAAAGGTTTGTCTATCTTGTCTATTTGATCCAAGAACCAACTCTTAGTTACTTTGACTCTCTGTATTGTTTCATCTTTATTGATTTCAGCCCTCAGTTTGATTGTTTCCTGGTGTCTACCCCTCCCATGTGAGTTTGCTTGTATTTGTTCTAGAGCTTTCAATTATGCTGTTAATTCTCAAGTGGACTATTCTCCAGTTTCTCCATGTGGGCACTTAGGGTTATGAACTCTCCTCTTAGCACTGCTTTTAAAGTTCCCAATGAATTTGGTTGTGTTGTATCTTCATTCTCTTTGAAATCCAGGATGTTTTTAATTTCTCTTTTTATTTCTTCTTTGACCTAGGAATGGTGCAATTGCACATTGTTCAAATTCCATGATTTTTTGCAGTTTCAGCAGTTTGTGCTGTTGTTGAATTCTAATTTTAATCATGTTGGTCTGAAAAGAAACACAAAATTGTTCCATTTTTTTACCTGTTCAGTTTTGCTGTGTTGCCTTATGTGGTCTGTTTTAGAGAGGATCCCATGTGACTCTGAGAAGAAGGCATATTTTTTTGTGTGTTTGCATGGAATGATCTATAGGTGTGTGTTAAACCCAATTGGGTCATAACTTCTGTCAGTTCCTTTGTTTCTTTTTTAAGTTTCAGTCTGTTGGTCCTGCCTAGTTGTGAGACTGGGGTGTTGAAGTCTCCCACTATAAATGTGTCTTATGTGTGATTTAAGTTTTACTAATGTTACTGTCATGAATGTGGGTGCCTTTGTATTTGGTACATAGATGTTCTGAATTGAGAATTCTCCATGATGGATTTTTCCCATGATGAATATGAAATGATCTTCTCTTTTGATTGATTTTAGTTTGAAGTCTTATTTGTCAGTTACTAGGATAGCTACACCAACTTGTTTCTTGGGTCCATTTGATTGGAAAATCTTTTCCCAACTATTTGCTCTGAAGTAATATCTGTCTTTGAAGTTGAGGTGTGTTTCTTGTATCCAGCAGAAAGATGGATTCTGTCTTCATAATCTTTCTGGTAGCCTGTGTCTTTTTACAGCCAAGTTAAGACTATTAATATTGAGGAAAATTAGGGATCATTGAGTGTTAATTCTTGTCTGCTTCTGATTTGTTTGTGATACCTTTATAATGGGAGCCATTATGGAGCACTAGGGAAATGTCCAGGAATGCACAAAGATGACATCAACTAAGATTCTAAGCAATAGTGCAGAGGCTACCTTAAATGCACTTCCCCTATAATGAGATTATGACTATCTTAAATGCCATCATATTGCATTCATCCAGTAGCTGATGGAAGCAGAAGCAGACTATCACAGCCAAGCATTGACCTTAACTCCTGAAATCTAGTTGAAGAGGGGAGGAGTGATGAGAAAAGGGGACAAAATCATTCTGGAGAAGCCCACAGAAGCAGCTGACCTGAGCAAGTGGAAGTTCACATATCCCAGTCTGACAGCAGTCACTCAGTCTGGAGAATCCAAAGAGGAGGACAGGAAGGTGTTCTGGAGAAGGCCCCACACTCACCTCTCTAGGTGGTTGCAGGCAGGACTAAAACTGCAATGGCTACCGACTCTGGATGGTTTATTCTGCCTGGGCCAGACTACTGGCCCAGTCCCTGGGTCAAGAGACTCATGAAATTGCTCTTAATTCTTAAACAAACCCAAATTTAACTTTCATCTAAGGCAAATTTAACAAAGAATTTCTAATATATTAAGATAACATGTCTTTTGATTAGCCAGAAATATTAAACCTAATGATATTTTGCTTTGTGTACCAGACATGAATCACTGCATAAAATGCTCAGATGATCAGTATGCCAACCCTGGAGGAAATCACTGTCTCAAAAAAGTTGTGACATTCCTGAGCTATGAAGACCCTATGGGAATATCTCTAGCCTGCTTGGCTTTGTGCTTCTCTGTTCTCACAGCTATTGTACTTGTTGTCTTTTTGAAGCACAAGGACACTCCCACAGTCAAGGCCAATAACCGGGTTCTCAGCTATGGTCTACTCATCTCACTCATCTTATGCTTTCTCTGTTCCTTATTCTTCATTGGTCGTCCCAATAAAATCACATGCATCATGCAGCCAACCATATTTGCAGTAGTATTCACTGTGGCTACTTCTACTGTTTTGGCCAAGACAGTTACAGTAGTACTGGCCTTCAAGGTTACTACCCCAGGCAGAATGATGAGGAGGTTGTTGGTGTCAGGGGCACCTAAATTTATCATTCCAATTTGCACCATGATTCAACTGATTCTATGTGGGATCTGGCTGGGAATTTCTCCTCCATTTGTTGAGGCTGATGTGTTCGTTGAAAAAGGACACATTTTGATCATCTGTAACAAAGGATCAATTATATTCTTCTATTGTGTTTTGGGGTACTTGGGATGCATTGCCATGGGAAGTTTTACTGTAGCTTTCCTTGCCAGAAATCTACCTGACACATTCAATGAAGCAAAGTTCCTCACATTCAGCATGCTGGTGTTCTGCAGTGTTTGGATCACCTTCCTTCCTGTCTACCACAGCACCAAGGGGAAGGCAATGGTGGCTGTGGAGGTCTTCTGTATCTTGGCCTCCAGTGCAGGGCTACTTCTTTGCATTTTTGTCCCAAAGTGCTTCATTATTTTGTTAAGACCCAAAAGAAATTCCTGTCAACAGTTCAGGAATATGTATTTTAAGATGGAAAGTGCTCACTAAGTTTTATAATATGTTTCATAGGCAATGGTTTTCAAAAACAATTCACTGACACTTCTTATTACCTAATTTATGTCATAATACGTAGTTTATCTCTTGAGCAAATGTAGAATATAAACTATGTATTAGATTTATAAAATTGACCTAGATCAAATCAAGCTTTGTTATCAGACATTTCTTCATGTATAATGCTAGTTTACACCTACATTTCCTTGTTTGTAGTTTAGTAGTTTAATAACGGTGCATTAGTCTGTATTTTATTAATCAATATCTAATGTCACTTTTTCAGTATAAATTATATGTTGTAGTTGTGTTTCATAATAAACCATTACAGTGGGTGAGTACATGTTTTAATTAAAGAGGCTTTTATTTTAATATGGGATAAAGATGAAGTTACACAAATTAATTCAGTCTTTTTGGCTCCAGTAGTTTGCATTTAGAGGATATATACACACATACACATGTAAGAAGTACATTGGAAAACAAGATGCTATCAACTTGAGTATTAGATAATGACAAGAGAGAGAGTGATTCTGCAGAGAGCTAAATGTAGAGAAAATAATAAGGCAAAGTGACGTTATTATATTTCAATGAAAATAATTTTGGTTGTGGTATTTGAGGTAGGGAGTCTTTAAGTAGCACTGGCTATCCTGGGATTGATACTGTAAACCAGGATTGCTTGGAACTCAGAGATTCCAATGCCTCTCTCTCTCAAGTCCTGGGATTAAAGGCTTCAACCACCACTGCTCAACAAAAAAAATTTAAAAAACAATTCCACACACACCATTCTCTCTTACCTAGAAAATATGTTAGGTTTCAAAAGTCATTCTTCCATAGCAACTTGAGTATTAACAAATAGTCAAGTTGTTCTAGTATTCCCAGTGTTTACAAAACCAGTTCAGAAATGATGAAAAAATAAAGGCTGGTTCAATAAGTTACCATATTAATCGTATAGCTTCATGTTGAACCTTACATTAGAAAGCATAAGTTTTTTTAATGTTTCAGTATTTTTAATTTAAATTTTTATTGAATATAAATTATTTTTACATACAATACATCCTCACTATAATTTTTCCTCATTCTGTTTCTCCCTACTCACCCATACTTTCAGATACTCTCCCTTATATCTCTCAATAGAAAAGAATGGACTTCTAAGAGATTAAAAACCAAGTATTACAAAATAAAATATAATAAGGTGAGAGAAAAATTTGATATAGAATATGAACAAGGAAACCAATATGGAGCAGAGACCCATCCACTCTCAAAATAAGGAGTTCTTTAACCTACTAACTGTCCTGCCACAAAATGTACTGTGCAGTTTTGGCATAGAGTTTACGGAAATTGCAAACTAGTGTCTGACTTGGCCAAGGCCCACTCCATAAAAAGGAACCCATATCAGACACTATTGGGGAAACCAAGAAACACAGACTGTATAGACTGCCATGGTCTCCAAACTGACAACCACATTAAAGGGTCCTTGTTTAGACCTATGCTGGCTCCCCATCTGTCAGACTAGGATTCATGAGCTTCAGCTTGCTCAGGTCAGTTGTTTCTGTGGATTTCCTCAGCATGGTCTTGTCCCCTTTGCTAATCAGCACCCACTCTTTACAACTGGATTCCAGGAGTTTGGCTCATTGTCCAGCTGTGGATCTCTGCTTCTGCTTCTATCAGTTAATGTAGTAATTAATCTCATTATAGAAGAAGGTCATTTAATGTGGCATGTTCACTATTGCTTAGGTCCTTATTTGAGGACATCCTTGAGGATCTCTGGACATTTCCTCAGTGCTAGATTTTCCTTAAATGAAAACTGGATCTCTCTATTTAAGCATATCATTTCTTGCTCACTCTTTCTCTATTCTTCCATCCCTAAAATTTTCCTGTTTCCTCATGTTCTTCTCTCTGTCCACTTCCTCCTCATTTCTTTTGCCCACCCCTACCCCTACTCTAAATATGTCAGGAGACCTTGTCCCTTTCTTCTTCCCTGGGGTATTGTGTATGTCTCTCTTGGGATCCTCCTTGATTTCTGACTTCTCTGGTGTTTCAGATTGTAGGCTGGATATCCTTTGCTCTATGTCTAACAACAACTTATGAGTGAGTATATGCTATGGTGTTCTTTCTGTGTCTGATTACCACACTCAGTAGGGTTTCTTCTCCTTTCATCTACCTGCCTGTGAAATTCAAGATTTGTTTGTTTTTTTTGCACTGAGTAGTACACCATTTTATAAATGTACCACATTTTATTTATCCACTCTTCAGTTAAGGGGCATCTAGGTTGCTTCCAGGTTATGGCTATTACAAATAATGCTACTATGAACATAGCTGAACAGATGTCCTTGTGTGAATGTTCATCCTTTGGGCATATGCCTAAGAGTAGCATTCCCAGATCTTGAGGTAGACTGATTCCTATTTTCTTGCAGAACCACCATGCTGATTTCGAAAGTGACTGTTCAAGTTTGCACTCCCACCAGTAGTAGAGGAATGTCCCACTTCCTCTATATCTCCAGCAAATATGCTCTCGGTGTGTTTGATTTTAGGCATTCTGATAAGTGCAAAGTACTACTTCAAAATTGTTTTGATTTGCATTTCCCTCATGACTAAGGATGTTGAGTACTTTTTTAATTGCCTTTCAGCCACTTCAGATTCCTCTAAATTGTCTATATGGTTCAGTACCCAACTCTTTAGTTGGATCCTTTGTTGTTTTGATGACTAACCTCTGGAATTCTTTGTATATTTTGAAATCAGCCCTCTGTCAGATATGGAGTTGGTGAGGATCATTTCCCTTTCTGTTACATACTATTTTGTCTTTCTGTATTTGCCAGTATTTCATTGAGTATATTTGCACTGATATTCATAATAGAGATTGTTCTGTAGTTCTCTTTCTTAGTTGTGTCTTTATATGGTTTGGATAACGGGGTGATTGTAGCATAATAAAATTAATTTGGCAATGTCCCTTCTGGTATTGTGTGGAACAATTTGAGGAGTATTAGTGGTATTCTGCACAGACACTGAGATTGACGATTAACAAATGGGACCACCTGAAACTGAGAAGCTTTTGCAAGACAAGGGACACAATCAACAAGACAAAATGTCTGCCTAGAGAATGGTTAAAGATCTTTACCAACCCCACATCTGACAAAGGGCTGGACTCCAAAATATAGAAAAAACTAAAGAAAATACACACCAAAGTACCAAATAATCCAATTAAACACTGTGATACTGATTTAAACAGCTAATTCTCAACAGGGGAATCTCAAATGACTAGAAAGCATTTAAAGAATTGCTCATCATCATATCCATCAGTGATATTCAAATAAAAACAGCTCTCAGATACAATCTTATGCCTGTCATAATGACTCAGAAGAAAAAAACTAGTCAAAGCTTATGCTGGAGAGAATATGGATAAGGGGAAAAATCTTCCACTGCTGGTGGGATTACAAAGTATACAGACACTTTTCTAATAAGTATGGCAGTTTCATAGAAAATTGGGAATCACTCTACCTCAAGACCCACCAATACCAATCATGGATATATACCCAAAAAATGCATGCTCATATCACAGCATTACTTGTAATAAGCAGAACCTGGAAGTACCCAAAATGCTCACCAAACAAAGAAAGGAATAAAGAAAATAGAATACATATACAAGATGAAATATTACACGGTATAAAAAAACTAAACAGTGACATTTTGAAATTTGCAGACAAACGGGTGAAACTAGCAGAAGCCATTTTGAATGACGGGATCCAGAATCAGAAAGACACTTATGGTATGATCTCATGCATAGGTACATGTTCAACCAAACACAAAGGATGACCAGCCTACAGTCCACAATTCTAGAGAATCCAGTAAAGAAGAAGGACCTTAAGAGAGACACATATGCACCTCCCTGAGAAGGGAAACATTCAGGATTTCCTAATAAAATGGGAGTGTAGGGTGAGGGTGCCAGTAGAGTAGTGAGTGGAGAGAAAGAGAGGGTAGGAGAACATGAAGCATTGGGAAGGTTGAGTTGGGAGAATGACAGAGTGAGAACAAGTAAAGAGATATGTTAATAGAAGGAACCATTATGGGACTAACATGAAACTTGGCACTTAAAAAATGCCAGGTATCCACAAAGATGACCCTCAATGAAGAATCTAAACAATAGTGGAGAGGTTACTTTATTTGCCCTTCCCTATAATCAGATGGATGACTACCTTAAGTGCCACCATTGAGCCTCCATCCAGTACCTGGTGGAAGTTGATCCAATTTCCATAATTAAGTACTGAGCCTCTAGAGTTCAGTTTTAGAGAAGAAGGAGTGATTATATGAGCAATGTGGTAAAGATAATGTTTGAAAAACTCTCAGAGTTGCTGACCCCAGCAAGGGGGAGCACAGTGACTCCAGATTGGCAGCTGGGGGACCTGCATGGGCCCTAACTAGTTACCATGAATGTGGGTTACAGTAGGGGAGTTTGGGTAGTTTGTGAGACCTTGGCAGTGGGACCAAAATTATTGAAATGCACATTATGAAAAACTAATTTACAATTACATTTAAAAACAAATGACCTAAACATAAACCTAAAAAAGAAGGGAAAGGCCATGATATTGAAAACTATAATACTCTCATGAGGTTTAGTGGTTCTAATTACTATTCCCAGCACTTGGAATACGGAATGAACAGGGTAAGAATTCAAGGACAATATAAGAAAAATAGCAAGTATAACAGTAGCAAATTGAAACAAAGCTCTACAGAGAGAAATACAAGGAGACTGTAGGATATGAAATGACCTTTAGTAGAGATAAATTATCATACTCAATATTTTTAAAAATGATAGTATTACCAGTAAGCATTTACAGATATAAGGAATTTACTTTATAATTTCCAAACACAATACACAGTGGCTGATGGAAGAAGAGGCAGACTCCCATGGCTAAGCACTGAGCTGAAGTCAAGAAATCCAGTGACAGAGAGGGAGGACTGATGAGCAAAGGCATTAAGGCTGGGCTGGTTTAACCCCCAGAGAC